TAGTGTGTCACGTTTCTTGTTTTTTTATTATTTTAGGTGTTGAGCTTGTGCTTCTTCACTGTTGTAGCATGATTGAATTCATTCTTTATGCACGCTGGTCATAGATGTCCCCCCCCCCCCCAAAAAAAAGGAAGAAATCCGATATTTTTGTGCGATGAACCCAACACTACAGCGATTATGCATCCAAATATTTGTCTTAATCATTTCTTCATGTAATAAACGTAGGACAGTTGATAAGTTTATTCAGGAAAGCTACGCGACTTACAGCACTTGAGAGCGCTTGTTCTTACTACTATAACAGTATAGGAGGGTGCACATGACGTCATTCGCTTGAGGTGCTAGCAGAGGTTGCCTCTACCACCATGTCGGTTTTCTGAGTGCACCCTTTTTGAAGCGGCGAGTGGCAGTGAGAGGTTGTGTGTGTGCCGTTACGTACGGTGCCAACATGGTGAAATGGGACTGAGTTTATGCGCGTGACTTTTGAGGTCCGGCGAAACTTCGCTACGAACATTAAGTTCACTTTTGCAGCAGATATCAGTCCGTTCGACTTCAGCAGCGATGAAGCTGTGTGTGATGTTAAGTGTTATTCCTGCATCGAGCTCACGGACATTAAGGACCACCTTGTTTGGCGGCACAAGCTATTACCTTGTTGGCGGTGCAGGCTTCTCAACAAGGGACAAGCTTAAAGCCTATAAATCGATGGACACCCGTAACTGTGACTAGCGGATGCGTCCAATAGTACTGAGTTAGAGACCTCGAAGACGGCCACCGCGTCATTGTCGAAAACATGACTGGTTCCCCTTGCTCAGTGCTCGGGCTAATAATTTTTGTCACCGTGGCGGTGTCGCTTCACGAATTCTTTGTGTGGAAGGGCTTTACCGTTTGCAAGAGCATGTGAGGTGACACAATTGGCATAGTTTGTCCGTGATTGAGCCTAAACCGCTTGCGGGATCAAAAACGATCTTTGCTGCAGGGTCTAATGATGCGCATCGGGCAGTTGAGCACCCAGAGATCACAAACAGTCTCGATTGTAACTGATCGACGTTAATGTGATATCACCGTTTTTTTTCTTCGCTGACCGTTCCCTTAAACAGACAGCGATGCAGTGATCTCTCGTCAAGGCATGGGTAAACGAGAACACACTGCGGCATGCCCGCACTGCGTCGCCGACTGTTTGCTAACCCACCAAAATCAGTAACACGCCGCACCCACCTGAATGATACCGCTGCTAAGCAGCGATCGCGGTCGTAGTGTGTGCGCTCGTCTCCTGCTGCGTAAACAAAGCTTCATAGTACGCCGCGAAAAATCTAAGTTTTTTTTTTCATTGCAAAAGCAAACCTCTATGATATTGCATAGGTTCTGAACACTTACCAGAACTGAAATATTTAACGCACACGCGGTATAGTGTGTGGCTGAGCGATCCAAACCTTTTCGATTGGATTACAATCACTTTAGGTATGGAAAAAAGGCCGACATCAGACGCACTTCCATGACCAGGCTTTTCACTCGAGTGGTTGTAGCGACCATATACGGCACAGCTCACCATTATTACCACAGAAACCTCGCACAGACGCCCGTGCGAGATTTCTGTGTCCGTGCGTGTACGTTCTGCGACTGCTTGCCGGCGGCGGCCGCGAGAGAGATCACAAAGATGGATATGCTGCCTTTTCGATGCTGGTGCCATCTTGTGGGCCACGTCCCTGTGCAACCCTCCTATAAAAGGGTAATAGTTCAGCCCGCAGCCTCCTTAAATTAATTATCTGCATCACAGTGATGCAAAGGTTCGAATATTCGATGAGACAAAGTTTTTTTTTTTTCAAGCGAACATGTGTTCGCTTCTTTTGTCAGTCTAGCACAACGCCACAAAATCACTCAAGATAATGTAAAAAGAAGACAACGTTCTGCGTCAAATTATACGACGCATGTGAGGCACGCTGCCTGGATTAATTTTGGCAATCTGGGCTCTTTTAAGCAACCCAAATCCAAGAACTTGGGTGAGGCAATTAGAAAACTTCAACCAAAAATTGTATTACAGCGCTTGAGTCAGCGCTTGGTCTGGCTTCGAAACATTAATTTTTGAATACGATATTTGGTTGAAATTTTCTAATTGCCTCAATTCTGTCCCAACCTGGAAGACTTCCGCCAAATGTTCACCTTTGACAAAAACACAGGTGTATCTGCATAAATGTTTCTCAATGTTAAAATTGCGCACGGCTAGTCAAGTTTAACCACGTCCGTGTCATTCAATTGAAGTACCGAAGTGTCAGAATTTACTAAACAGCAGTGTCATGGGACTAGGACCATACAATAAAAGGTTATCCGAAGAACAATTGAAGCTCATCGCATAACCGATAAGCAAGAATGCCACAATCTTTTTTTTTTTGAAGTAGACACCTAACAACAATGCAAAACTGTCCTATATTTCTGAGTCGCTAAAACACTGCATTCACGCTATTTATTATTCATCGTGTTTGGGACGACGCCAAGTGCACTTTATGATGGGCTTCAGCTGAAAAGCCGCACCTACACCGACATGATCCTGGCGAGGAGAGGCTACGACGATGATACACATCACTCGCCAAGTACTCGACCTCATCCTATTGCGGTACATATACAGCCGAGCAAGGCCGAATGCTTCTGTAGACAGTGCTAAGCAAACTTAGAAGCAGTTACTCTTGCGCTAACAGAGTGGACGAGATGACGTGTGCGCACGTGCTAGCCTATGTGGATAGCAGACGATGCAGGGAGTAATCCACACTAGGTACGCTTCAGCAAGTGGCCAGACTCTGCTCGATTTCGGGGCGAATACTTCCAAACAACTTACTGTGGCAATGAAGGAAAAGCTACGGGGGCGGAGTAAACTTCATTCACTGTGTTACTGCGCCAAAGTAGTAGTCTTCGATAAACGAGTTTCGGTTTCAGTTTCGGCGTGACAGATGCGTCTTTCTTGCTGTTCATTTCTTCGCATGTAGTCCTTAATTGGTCCCATTTAACCACGGTTACTGATCGTGCAGGCATATTGGTGCTTAGTTCCCTACGCTCAATTTGTCTGTGTCAATTTGTGTCACCCAGAAAGGATGGGAATATTTTCAGCGCTGCAGTTTTTAGGGCACATGTAATGTGTAAACTCATCTAGAGCTGAAAACTGACGCGTGTAGCGTGCTTAAATGGGGCGGTATACCAGGCGCATAGTACTCCCACATCCAGCAGCGCAAAGTGAAATCCGTTTTAGATCGTGTTCAGTAACGCCAGCACCAAAAGGCATTAATAACCCACTGCCCACACGTTCCGCGGCTCAGAAAACGTATAGCGGCGATCTCGCGCTTCTGCAGAGGCCACGAATCCTGTGCTCAGTCGTAACCACTTCTCGTTCCCGTTTCCTTCCTTAAAATCGTGCGGTCATGCGGTAATTTCTCATGATGCTGCACGGCGCACTTATTATGTATACCTCAGGATAGCAATCGTACGTTGCACTTGTGAGGTTACTTACATAGAACAGGAAGGTGTGTAAGCCAATGCAAGCTTGTGAATGTCATGCTTTCTGAACATCTATACAATTAGCGCTGGTTCTGAAGTTCAAAAATAAATGGTTGCCTATCAATTCGCCATTAATAATTGGTTCCTGACATTATAAAGCACACTTCATAAGCTAAATTTGTCCAATGCCAACATTCTAAGCCATACTCAGCCTGGTGACTACACCATCCCTCTTGCCTCTACATTACAATTTGGATTTTTGTGGCTGTGGCCGGTTTTCACACACACTATTCCTGAACCAGCAAGGAAACCCCTTGAACACACAGGGCTGCCATGGCCTGTTGCAGACAGTTTTCAATCTAAACACGGCGAGCATTTGTGAGGAGAAATCAATTGTGCTACGTGACAAATTGCAGGCGCAAAAACATGGTGTTTTGTTATATATTTCCTGCATAACCAGCTGAGTAAAATTTAAAATTTGCTCAAGTTGTAATGCACACATAAGTACACCAGTCACAGGAACAAACCTTTAATAATGTGTCCCCTTCTTTCAAGCCAACTTAATCTATCAAAGGCAGACAGCCGTGTATTTTCAACGAAACATTTGACCCCGTGAGCGCTTGTATGAGGTACTTGGCTGTAATGTACAGTGAAAACTTCATGAAGAGGCACACATTACTTTGTATAATTGCTCAAGACCTTGTCATTTGGCCCTTTAAAACACACTTGAAAAAGTGTTTGTGCTCAACGTGCTTATTTACTTAAGCAATTAACATCTGCAGTCGAAGAGACAAACGAAACATGAGCAAGTGGGTACTAATTACTATCCACGTAGGTAGTGTAACTGGCATTTTTGGCTGGATGAGTGAAATAGTTTTAAATTATGAGACAATGCTTTTTTGGAAGTCACTTTCATCTCGCAACTCTTGAACTTTAATTCTTCCAGTCTTGTCAGTTCGTCCACCCGCAGCAGCTATGGGGAAAGGCTGTTCACGGTCACTTGGGTTAATGAAAACTTGGCTACCATTTCTTTCGGGTGAAAAAACAAATGTGATGCACCACTCAGCACGGCTTGCTCTCCTCAGCTGCCGTTTTTATGTGTGAAAAACAAGTGCCACCCACAACTGACAGTCAAAAGACTGATTCACTGGCTTACAAAAACATGCTAAATGGTCGCTTGGTGCTGCATGCAACCAGAATCACGTAAACGGATAGTGTATATTGTCACTTGTTAGTCGGCGCTTGTGGTGTCTTGACTTCTTTCTTGTGTCCTTGTTTGCACGCCCTGTTTTTTAAGAATGACAGAGCACACTTTCAAGCTGTTGGACATCAAAAAGGAATTAACATAGCATCGCACAAACAATCAGCATCACTCAAGCCAGTGGCACACTAGGTTCGTCAGAGTTCGTTTATACCACTCAATTCACTGACACTACTGCCACTGCAGCTGCTGGAGTCAGATTCCAGAGTAATTATGATGCTTTAGAGGGTGCTTTTGATTGCACCATCCCGCTCCCAGGCATTCACGCCCAGTTTTCTGGAGTCACAAGGGCAATGGCTTTGTCTAGAAGTTCTTCGACTCCAGCAAGAGTGAACGACCTGTTCTTGGCTGCAATATAACCCTTGACCTGGCTCCATACCCTTTCAATGGGGTTGAAATCATAATGGTAAGGAGGAAGTCGAACAATGTCATGACCAGCAACCTTGGCCAGGGCATCAATCCGGTATCCATAAAAACGGTGCTTGTTTTGATTAACCAGCTGAATGAGTCCGGGCTTCAACTGGTTATTAAAACACAGGATGTTTATTATTTTTTGAGTAAACCAAGACTGAATCTCGGCCTTGCGGGATGACGTCGAGGGCAACTTTTCGAGCTGAACACTGTGGTACGAAGCATTGTCCATGACAATCACGCTCCGTGGCTCAATCTTTGGTAAAAGTTGTTCTTTGAACCATCTCTCAAAGCATGGGCCATCGATTTCACTGTGGTAGTCACTGGTAACACTGTTTTTCACCCGGAAAACGAGGGATGTTCCATCCACGAAGCCATTTTCACTTCCAGCATGGAGGACAATGACCCGACCACCTTTGTTTCTCGGTGCACGAAGCCCATTTGTGAGACCCTTGCGAAAAGCATCTTCACGTGATTACACAGTGGTGTCCTCCCACGCCTTCTTCTTGGTGTGTCCAGCATTCACCCAAGTCTCGTTGAAGTAGTATGTAGTCCTGCAAAATCAAGAGAAATATGTTTCAGGAATCTGTTTTAATGAGAGGGGTCAGTTGAGACAGAATAAATTTATGAACGGCATCTAATATCATCCTACCAGGCCGGCAGATATTTGCAGTTTTCAGATAGTACTGGAAAATACAAAAATAAAAAAAATGTTCCACGAGGTTCCAACTCTTATAAATAACAGAATACCTTCTTTCAGAGCCTTCCACACTTCATGAAAACACGTCAATATGTACTTGTGCCTTTCCTTGCTTAATGAGAATAACAGGCAAAGTACAAATAAGAGCCACAGACGCAGAAGCAAGTCACAAAAAAAGTTATTATTTTACTACTAATATGATCATGAGTAATTCCTCTTCTTACTGAAGCTTATTTACCTCCGAGAATCGTAATGCTTACTTTTTGCAAATTTTTACTTGAGGTACCTAATTACCACTCGCAAGCCATAAACAAAACTCACAAATCAAGATGAACGGCAACATGCATGAGGATAGGTGGATTAAAAAGTAAATATGTAGTGGTACGAGAACTATCATTATTATTTCCTTTTCCTACTGTTTCAACTCTGAATGTTTACATTTGGGATTTGTGTTTTAATTGACATCGTTTACATTCATAGCACTGCCAAACAATAGGAAAGACTGTACGTATTATTTCTTCTCTTGCATTTCGCGAATGGTCCGCAGATACTCCCACCGCCACACGATGATGTCGCCCCTTTCCATGAGTGCACAGTCACGTTTTCGCTTCCGAAGTGCAAAATTCAATGTCACTTAAAAACCTGTGCATCGTTCTGACACGCAGTTGCTTCGGTAGTCCCGTGTCGGTGTTGCCGATTACCTCGCTGAGGATCTTTTCTGCCGTTGGCGCCTCGTTGCGAATATTGTACTAATGTACTTTCCGGTGAAGAGCGTACAGGGTAAAACTATCGTACCGCTGCACTCTTGTCTTTCCAGTAACTCTTGCTGGTGATTCGGCCACAAAATGAAGCCTTTTATACTTCGAGAACTTCAGGGTACCATTTAAAACATCCGCCTTGAGCAGTGTGACAGTACGCTCGCTCACGCCGGTAAGCTGGCTAACCGCACGAGTCACTGAAGTGACGGAGAGTCCCGGTTGTGTCAGTCTCACTTGGGCGTACACGTTGCCAGCAAATTGCTTGGTTTGCTTCGACAGCTTTTGGTACTCAAGCTTCTTGAATATCCTGTGCGACGAGCGAATTGGCGAGCAATCGGAGGAAGGAGGCACTTGTGACGTGGAGGCCATTTTTTTTTTGAAGGGAGATGGTGAAGGAAGAGAGCCAAGCGACCGCTGTGGTGAACGCGGCAATTAAAGAAAATCAAGAAAATATAAAATATAATGCTTTTTCACATGGTATCACTAATAACACTCTCGCATTATCAATTAGTGGCTAAAATTATAACTTCACATTTTTAAATGAGTAGGTTACTCTCGAAAAGCTTTTTTTTTTGCAGAACTACTTTCACCTACGCAGCGACGCTGACGAAACATCGTAGTTCGGCTCTGTAGCCTTGACTGCATTGCCAAAGAAAGTTGTCCCCGAGTATAGTGCTTTAGATTATTATGGGCAGTACCAGCGCACAAACTCATGGGACGAAGAGAAGAGATACAAACATTATGGGTACTGTCCATACTGTATCACCAACTAGCCCAACTATTAGGGCTGCTTCATTAGATTATTTTAGTGACTAGAACGGCTACCTAGTGTCGTGATCGTGGAGGCTGGCTGGAAAGCGCCCTCAATACTGGCAGTAGACGGCATAGCAGCCCGCAGTCGGGCTTTGCTCGCGAGCTTGCGGGCTGCCCCTTCTTTCAGTGCAAATAAGCTGTGGCTTTGATACAAGCTTGTAGCTTCGGCCAGATTGTGCTGCCGTATTGTGAAAGTTTAAAGAAGAAAAAAACATATGAGCCTGTGCAAAAAAGTCGGCTTTTGCAGGGGCAGAGTGCGTACAGGTCTTTGAACTCCTTCAAAGTTCTTCAACTTCAAAAGGGCCTTTTTCAGGGCCCTAAGTCCGGCAGTTTTTCGCCGTCTTCGAAAATCCTTGAATTTCTTGAGCGGTGCATTCTCATATCGACTATGTGACATCCAAAACATGGTAGATCGACGTGTTAACCTGTCAAACTCGCCATTTCAAAAGCAGGAATGCGAATGAGCCACGCACGGTTCCGTTTTGGAGAAGTCCATGTGAAAAAAAGTCACTTTTGAGACAAACGCGATAGCAATAACACGCACAGGACGAGCACTTACTAACAACTGTCGCTGCCCGACACTTTCAGCCTGCTGTTTAAGCACAAAGCACACTTGAAGGGAACATGTAGTTATTCAAGAAATGAGTGTAAAGTAACAACTGTCATACTTGATATTTACGGTTATAGAACTTGCTCAGTTGCCGAGCTCTCGACCTCCGCTATACTTTGAAATATACCCATAACTGCCTTCTATTCCAGGTGGGGCTACTGCAGCAACAGGCTCCACGTAGCAGACGATCAAGCACAAGTGAACATCATGCATGCAGCTGCCATCCATGCAAATATTCAATTTACTTGTATAAAGGGTGCACTTTTTTTTTCAGGAAATCCAGCTTGAAGCTAAGGGTGTGCCAATTACACGGGGTAAAATTTTTGAAAGCTTTTTTACTTGGTTCTCGTGCTCTAAATCGGCACATTTGTCAAGTATAAGGGGCTTTAGCATTTAACGATCAATTCAGCCTAAAACAAACATACCTATGTACCTTTTACCTAGCGAGAGCTGTCAACTGCACGCACACATGTAAAATTTATTTGCACATAAGTCGTAGGTGTTCCTCCCTTTCTCTATTTGAAGTCCGAATTGGAGAGCACACATTTATCCTCTTCGAGCGGGGATTAGTTCTCAGTGTCCAAATCATCCGCATTCCACAACTTGTCATCCTCACCCGCATCCTGTGCGTTCGAGATACGGCGTCTTTTGAAGCTTTTCCTGACGGTCGTCGGAGATCACCTGCCACGCTTCTACGATTAAAGGGCACAATATTTCTACTGGCGGCCTCTTTACGTTACTATCTGGAGTCACTTAATGTTGCACTTTCAGCTATTCAGGTGGTGTACAGCCTTCGAACATTGTCCCTGAAAGGCTCATTCAAGGACATGTACAATGGCTGCAGTGTCTATATGAGGCCGCCCAGAATCACTGCCAGATCTGTGCGCGGCTCCTTCAGCTCATCTCGTACACAGTGTATAAGTTGCCCACGAAAACTGTCCAGAACAAGCATGGACAGGAACAACAGACTACCTGCCGCTGACCCTAGACTGTTTTCACCTAATCCACCATCAGTTGCGCGCTCAACCAACCTTTTTTGTAGACTCTGACGTAGATTCCTTGAGGAAAATTTGCTTTCGGTAGTGTCTTGCATTTAAAATTAACGTAATAGATGTTCTGACAATGACGATCCATGCACCTGTCTCCTCCACTGTTGCATTCCGCGGAATATAAAACAAAGGATGATCTGATCAGCGTTGCCAATTCAGGATAGAATGATGAGTTTCTGCTGTCGGAGCTTTATAATGAAACAGTAAGCGTCCACCTCCTTGTCCTCATATTCTGCGGGCAAGCACTGGCTATAGGTGGTCTGTTTTCGCAGTGCGAGGCCGTGGCACTGCATAAAACAGGTTGTCCATCCGGAGCTGGCTTTGAACTCTCTTGCTTCAATTCCCTGCGCTCGGGCTGTTCTGCGCACCTCAGTCTGCACAATATCCAGTGACACAGCATAGTAGTCTCGTTGTTGCTCCTGTATATGCCGAACCACTAGCTTTTAAACGTTCAGATACCTGCTGCTCTTGGCTCTGTGGAAAGCCCGTCATGTTTTCTTTATTGCCTTAAGATTTTCTTCTTGATCCCTCCAGTACCGTATACTGGTTTCTACAACACCGAAATGCCTGTTTGCAGCCCAGTTGCCATGCTTCAGCAGATACTGCACTGCCTTCACTTTGAATTCAGCCGTGTGGCATGCGTAGTTCCTTAAGATGGAACCAAAGTTGAATACATGACCACAACATGCGCACACCGCTTGCATAATGGCGTTTCTTTTTTTCTCTGTTGGTGGTGATGGCGATCGAGCCAATCAAGCCCCAGGCATTATACATGGGACCTTTGAGGTGAGGCTTCACCAACAGAAGAGCGCGGCTATTTGGGCGGTATCTTTAATTGACGGAATAGCTGTTTTTTTTCGCTTTTGGACGCGTTTTTTAGTTTTATTTCACAAACACGTAGGTTAGGTTGTTCCACTTTGAATAATTTTTTTCTATTTGTTCCTCGATTTGCCTTCTTTTTTTCTTGAGCGTACGGGGACTGCGTCCCAGCCGTACCGCTGGGGTTAGAATTGTTTCTGATCACGGCTATGTTTGCTTTGCATTTATTATGCGGAGAAATGAAAATATTGAATTTTACGCTAACAAACCAGAAGTGCGCCTATGATGCGAGTAAATACGTATTTGAAAACACAAGGACAAGGATGACTACTTTTTCTCTTTAGGTAATTGTGAAGATGTGATACATTAGCAAGAATGTTTGAAAGCGGGTTAAATGGTGTTTTATGTGGCACGAACTATGGCAGGCACCCAGTGCACTGCGGACGCTGTGGTTCGCATGAAGTTCTCATTTGTTATTGACAT